CCATAATGATCGCAGCGGCCGGTGCCTCGCGAATCTCCAATGCCTTGTCGTCGGTCGAAAGAAACTCGAGCCCGACGAATCGGCCATGACCGAACTTGCCTACCTCCTTGTTTAGGAGGGCAATGGCGTCGATAAGGGGGAGCTCGTCGCCGTTTATGGAGGAGAGGTTGCCGTTCTCGAAGCTCAGGGTGAGCTTCTCGGGGGCGTAGTCACCGCTGCGCCGCGTCCATTCGTAGGCTTCTTCGGGGATGTTGAAACCCTCTGGGTCGCCTAGCGGACCGTCTTCAAATTCTCGACACCATAGGTTCTCGTCGCCGCTTAGCTTGCGCTCAGCCATGATGGACAGTCCGGCTGCGGATAGCTCAGATGCTTTCTTCTCGCGCGAGGTCACGGAGTGGACGTAAGGGCTTCCGAATTTGCCAGAGAAGTCGTAGAGACGAATGCAGTTGTTCAGTCGGGGAAGACTGTTCTGCGAGAGGTTTGCAGTGTGGAGAAGCAAGCCTGCATTCACGGAATTGGCGTAGTCTGTGATCAGACGAGCGATGACCGGACGGGTGATGGAGCTACTGATGGGAAACATGCGCATGTATGATGCGTGAGCGCGAATGGCTGGCATGACTCCATCTTTGACGAACAGCTCGCGACCATCGAGACACTTGAACGAAGCTCCAAAGTGAGCAGCGTGTTTGGTAAGTCCTGCCTCGTCTACAGGAGCTCCAACATCTACCGCGACGGCATGGATGTTGGTGTAGCCAAGCTGCTGGAGCTTGAGGAGCAGGTAGGTGCTGTCCAGACCACCGCTGAACATAGTGACAACCGGTGCATCTTTCTTGTCGAAGTCTGCAAGGTGACCAAAGCTTTCAATGGGCCGCCGTTCTTGATGGGAACGGACCAGCGCGGCCTGGGCCGTGACGGCATCAATGGCACCTCCGTGACCGTTGGATTGTACAGTCATTGTGTTGAGGTAGGTGATAAAAGAAACAAGAGGTAAACGGAAAAAAGAATGAAGAATGACTTGGACCTTGTTGTTGAGGTTGCGATGTCTAACAATAACTGGAGGTTTATATCACTACCATGATGGGTAATTATACTATCGCGGGACGTACTTTTCTCATACAGCCATCACTCTTACACTTCACATTTAGTCACCCTAGCCAATTCCCTTTTCTCTATTAGCTGCATCAGAATACGAGTCTCCTCATCTCAACAAGTCCAGATCTTCGGCGATGGCAATATGCAGCAAGCATCTAGGCTTCATCATCATCTGCAGGCGCTGTAGCCTCTCACTAGCAGATGTAACCCATAATACGGACATTGCCGTCTCCAGGTGAATACCGTTTCGTGCTATACAACCGTGCTAAATCTGGGGGCCGTTTCACTGCAGAGAAGTGGAGCAGGAGATCTAGCCCGTTACTAGCTGATCCCCAGTCATATTAATATGAGGTATATACAGTGCACCGACATCGGGTTCATCCCGGCACTTACAGGATCGATTTACGTGTTCGGCTTTTTAGCTGCTAAAATGCCCTGATAGGAATTATCAGGTGATGCATGTGATGTGGGGAAAGAAATGCAGGGGGTGAATAGCTTATACATAGCCTCATCAATGGGGTTAATATGTTGTGTTTTTTATGAAGAGTAAGCCCTAAACTGCTTCGGGTGATGTTGGTTGTGGCGATAGTTGTGGGGTAGGACGGCTACAAGCGCGGACTACTGTTGCCGAGAGGTATCTAGATTGAGTCTGAAGAATCAAAATACTATTACCTGCTTTCCTCGTTGATACACTTATTGTCAACTAATTATGCATGCCTTTAGAGATGTCGGCTCTATCCGCCTATCATTGCCTTGAATTTCTAAGCTAGAGGTCTTCCGGGCAAAAGCACCAACTACATGGTCCTTCTAGTGCCTACTGAGTAGAATCCTCAGCGCTTTGACCACGGATCTCCGAATCCTTCAAGCCTCTCCCTTTGTAATATCAAAAGGTAATCTCATTTGCCTCCTGATATCTACCGAACAAGCTCAGATCATTGCCTGAAAAGGAAGGCGTTACAGATTTGCCATTAGCAGATCAACAGATCCCGCTAACAATCCTTCATACTCGACAAAAGTACTGTACAGTAGTTATGCTTAGCTGCTTAGTAGTGCTTACGCATAGTAGTGGCTGTATCCGTGTAATACAAGCAAGTAACCAATCATTCAGTTGATCGATCAATCCTTTGTATAGCTAACTAACATGCGTTTTATACCTTCTCTCGCTCGAGAAGACAACTTCCTGTTCGAGCAAACATCCCGAGCAAGTCGCCGTCTCATAGTTGCCATCGCGCAGCCGTGGACCAGATCCTGAAGCTGATTTCGCGATCTAGAACAGCTAGCAAGGTAGTATCAACACTTAGCGAACACGAGGATGGAATCGTCTATCCTTCTACGGGTTACATCGGGATGAATCACGCCATTGCAGAGCCGTCTCTGAGATTCTGGCCCCTTAGCCATGGTGGAAGTAGGAAAGAGAAATGAGAGTCTGTATACATTGGACAATGATGCTGTATACTTGCCGTGGCCGTCACGAGAGGGCCAACCCCAGGCGCATATAAGAAGCTCGAAAGCTGCAAGTTCTCTGGCATCAAAGTAACAAATCAACTCATCTTTCTCTAACCGGAGACACTTTCTTCAAGCGTTCTTTCCCCCTCAAAAGCTCAAAATGGCCATCACCGAGCCCATCCTCGTTGCGGAGTCTCTCCCAACCATCGAGCTCGACCTTCTCCGAGCAGACAACGAAGCGGAAAACAAGAGACTCCTCAGCGTCTGCCAGAACTATGGCTTCTTCTACCTCAACATGACCAGCGATCCCGAGCTCTGCCAGCTCTGGGAAGACATGCTGTCCATCATGAAGGAGTACTTCGAGCAGCCCCTTGATATCAAGATGCAGGATGCCCGCAACGACGACAACTTCGGGTAAGTCACATCACCCAACCCATCCTGCATTATCACCACCACTGACCATCCCAGCTACGAGCCCATGGGCACCGAAGAAGGCCCCAAACCCAAGACCCGAGACGGCTACGAGTCTCTCAAGGTATGATACTCCCCCTTTCTACACCCACTCCCATCCATACTAACATCCACAGTTCTCCCGCCGCGAATACCTCAAAAACTCAACCGACCTCACCACCAGCATCCGCACCAAATCCACCCCCTTCTTCAACTTCATCAACCAAGCCCACACTATCACCCTCCTCATCCTCTCCCGCCTCTCCACCCAACTCGGACTCACCGGCCCCTCCCGCTTCGAAACCTACCACGCCGACCCCGGCCCGTCCACCTCAACCCTCGGCATCCTACGCTACCCCAAGCATGAGTCCGGAATCAGCGAGCCCACCAGCGTCGGCCACAACCAGCACACCGACGTTGGCACGCTGACCTTCCTGCTCGCGGCCCAGTGGGGTCTGCAGTACTGTTCTCCCCAAACCAAGCGCTGGGAATTTATCGAGCCTCGCCCCGGCCACGCTATCATCAACGTGGGCGATAGTCTTCGCTTCCCGTCGGGTGGGGAGCTCGCGAGTGTGGTGCATCGCGTTGTGCCTTTGAAGGAGACGCAGGAAGAGGACCGTTACAGTATTGCGTATTTTTTGAGGCCGAATGATGATGTCACCTTTAGGGATGCGACGGGCAAGATGTGGTCGGCGAAGGAGTGGCATGATTTTAAGTTTGATGTGTTTAAGAGTCCGAGTACGTTGGATGCGAAGGGGAGGTTTTTGACGGGGATGATGTTGGAGGAGGAGAGGGGGAGGTGGGTTGGTGTTGCTGGGGAGGGAGGTGTGGCGGTTGCTGTTTGATCGGAGTTCATTCTTTGATTTTGAGATTAGATCTTTGATTTATACAAAATGGTGGACGGGTATGCTAGGATGTATGTTGTGAGGCTGCTAAAGTATTGACTACATGCAAACTCTGGATTACAACTTCTCGCTGTATAAGTACATGAACCTCGAAGAGTAGCCAATTTAGCACTGAGATGTTGCACTCTTTAGACGGCAATGTTCATTACGTCTTCTAAATGCTAAATCAATCTCATAGTCAAGATATATGGGTTCTATCTAGGCGTTATTGTTTCGTACCATGGTGTTAGTCCAGGCTTGAAAATTACTATATACTATTCTTACAACAGTTTGGCAGTTTTGCGACTATGCAGCCAGAGGTTCTGTTATCACCGCCTTGTAGAAATCAACTACTTGCGATATTTCTATGCCCAGCGCACCAATTGCTGCTGGAAGTACAAAAGGAACAAGATCCTCTGAGGTCCAAGATTCAACTCAAATTAGATCAGAAAATTGGCATATGAAAGATGGAAAGCAATTAAGGCCACGAAGATAGAGGAGTACAAATGGGAAAGGAACAAGATATGAATGGCTGGTAGAAGGTTTTTGCCGCAGGTGACGTTAGGGCAAACCGAGCTGAATTGACAGTAGCGTCTTTTCATTCTAGGCAGTGAATTTAGAGGAAGCAACTATGGCCGGTGTTTAAAAACCCACTGCGCTGATTAAAGCGATATATCGCGTCTACTTAGAGCAGACGGAGGGGCATATCGCAACCGATGACCAAGTCCAAGGTTAAACAGGCAACGGGAGCCGGGGAATTCTAGAGAGGTATAATGCAGACCGTAGGCGCCAAAGCTGCCAGTAATGCGCTAGCCACCACCCCATGCACTATGGTCAAGCGCAGCACCTGAACTTTCACATTGATAGATTGTTTCCAGAGAAAGGATCTTGTGGGTTTTAGCGTTTGATTTTAGCGTGGGCTGCTTTTTATTTATTTATTTATTTCTTTTTCTTTTCTTGCTCGTTCTCGTAACACAAGGCCTTGGTATCATCGGGATATGCGGTTATGCACTTATCCCTGTCGTTCGGGCCAAGTTGGGCACTGATGCATCCAATATGGATTCCCCCACTTGAGACTCGACGCATGGCATTTACGGAGAACTCATATCATTCTTTACCCTCTTCCAACTGCGATCGGTTTTACCTAGCTAGGGCAAAATAAGTTATTGTCTGAACCACAGTCAGAGTTCATTAATCAAACATTCCCCCCTTTCCCTCTCCATTGAAAGGTTTCCCCGATATCCGAAGGTTTACTTATCATGTTTCAGCTGCCAACCACCATCCTACCTTTCAATAGTATTGCAAAGGAAGGGGAGGAGGATGAAGATGAGGAGATATGCTCACTTTGCAATTGCCTGGAAGACATGACATTTACACGTGAGACACCGTCAGGACGCTATAGTGGCTATAATTTCCGAAATTGCAGAATGAAAAAGTCGAGAGTTCAGGCGGCCTACTTCCACAAAGGTTGCCATCAGTGCCCCAGTATATCTCAGGATCTACTCTGCGTTGTATGCAAACACATGAGACTCAGGCACCTAATACAGTGTATACTATTAGCCGACTCTCTCACTGAAGAAGTCCTGAATCGCCCTAAACGATATCCATGCAGTCTGGATACTATTTCCCTGGAATTAGGTTGCGCCAGAGACTTAGAAGAACGCTCTATCTACTGCGACATCTGCCGCTTTTTTTCTGGGACGGCCAAAGAGGTGATGGAACAAGATAAATTATCATCTGATTTAATGTCTCACATACGAGTTACAAGGAGTGAGTTTACAAATGGAGGCGTCAAGAGCAGCTTCAGTATCCAGTTGTTTCTGGAACGCCCACGAAAAAAATTGAAGGATGATGCGCTATCGTCTCATCGGGAACTCATCAATAAGCTGTTGGTGGGTGCGTAATCTCATGAATAACACGGGACTTTCACTAGTTAATTACAGGCCAGTGAGTGGCGACTAACCAAATACAGGGGACAAGGTCTTTATCGGGACAATAGAGCCTACCCATGGCCATCGCCTGGTTTCTACTCCTATACCCCAGCAAGCGGTCGACTGGCAGAAGGTCTCCAAGTGGGTGAGAGACTGCCACTCTGAAAAGCACACGGGTTCTTGCCAGACGAAGCCTGATGTCTCACGAATAAGTGGGCTTCGGGTCATTGACACCAGAAAGAGGTGCATTACAATTGCCCCTGGGGCGTGTCAATATGCAGCTTTGAGTTATGTGTGGGGGGCCGTGAGCAGCCTCTTGCAGGCAACGATGGCAAACATAGATCACCTGTCTGAGGAAGGCTCTCTGAACAGCGATCGTCTACCTCAAACTATTGATGATGCCATTGTTGCTTGCAGGAAATTGGGGATAGATTATCTTTGGGTTGATTGTCTTTGCATATTACAGGATGAACACCCTAACCAGAAAGCCTACTGGCTCGATTCTATGGGAGCAATCTACGCAAAGTCATTTGTAACAATCGTTGCTCTAGCCGGAGAGAATGCCGACCACGGCCTTCCTGGAGTAAACAAAGTCAGTCGAGTGACATGCTGGTCTGGAAAAGTACAGGGGATATATCTGATTGCCGCACCCCCAAGCTACTCTTATTGTTTACAAAATTCGAAATGGGCTACCAGGGGCTGGACGTTTCAAGAGGCAGCACTCTCAACACGGCGGCTTTTGTTTTCCGACACCAGAGTTTTCTATGAATGTTGCCACACCGAGCATGTCCAAGCTGATTCTTATGGTAAGAGGTATGATGTAAAAATTGCAGCGATTCCTCTATTCTGTTACTCAAGGATGGTAGAGGATTTCACAAACAGGGATCTTACCTGTGAGAGTGATGTGCTTCGCGCATTCGCAGGCGTTCTCCACACAAATTGGGGACAAGAGTGTTATTATGGACTACCCCTGAGAATCTTCAGAGATGCAATTATCTGGACGGCAGTGAACAAAATTCATCCCAGAAGGCATGCAGCACCTGGTGATGTGTTTCCCACCTGGTCGTGGTCTTCAATTAAAGGACCCATCGAGATGCGTAAGGCAACCCGGACATCCCTAGCAATCTGGGCAATTCCCTCTAGGTCGAGTCATCAACCAGATCTCCAATTCATCACATATAGTGTATGGAACGCAGGTAAACTCGAGGAATCAAAGAAGCTGAAGTTCGAGAAAGAGGTTGACGAAAAGGTGAAAGTGTTATATTTAAATGAAAAGGAACAAAGACTTGCTGCGATTATGGCCTGGAAGTGCGGATGTTTCTCTGGATCATTGCCGAGTATACTCAACACTAGAGCCACATTGAAGAATTATGAACGAATTCTTGGCAAATGGAGATCACATGCACAGCTTTGTGAAGAGGCTCATGGAATGTTAGGGAATAATATGCGTGAACAAGATATGAACGCGCGGTTTCCTTCATATATGCGTCAAGCATGTTCTTCCGGGTCCATCTTGATCTATACGCAATCACTGAATCTCAACCAACTCAGACTGGGTAAGAAGAGTCAAAAGTATTACGAGGAGGAAGTATTCATCATTGAAGCTGGCGATTTCGTGGCCGAAGTAATCACTGGCTCACTCAACATGGAACGAATCAACCTTGTTCAACAAAAAGACCCCAATTCTCAATTTACCTTACTCGCTCTCTCTGTCACGCACAATGATGGTGATATGTCTAGTATGTGTATGCCTGCGATACCACGAGGGTATGTTTGGTGGGATTGTTCTGCGAGACGAAAAATGCTTGATAATATTGACGGACCCTCGAGTATTGATGATATTTACCGACCCCTGAGAATTGAATCCAGAAAGTCTGATATTTCGGTAATTGCTTTTGAGGTCCGGCCTTGATGTACCTGGCCATGTAAGTGTCTATGCAACCCTCTCCGGAGTATCTTAGATGCCTGACCCCCTCCTGTAGAAGGGCCCGACGTACGAAAAAACTAAGACTTGGTCATTCGGCTAGTATACAAGAACAGCAAGACCAACATCATGCTCAGATCGTTTCACGCCATCACACCTTACATTTCTGTGCACTTTCGTTTGAGTATCTAAACGAAGTTGCCAGAATTGGCCATTACTTCAGGTCCTTTAGGGATCATCTACTTAGCATCCATGCCCGCCTCACCTTCCTTGTCTTTATCGCTTAGCTTTGCCCCACTACTGGACTGACCCGACTAACTTACTTGCTTGTCCGTAACAAGTTAACAACACATAGAGTGATTTGAGAAATTGCCACATTTACACCGTTGTAAATTTGTATTTTTCAGTATGTGATTGGGGGGGTTCAAGTCTCCATGGTGACCTCGGGCCGAGCCATCCCACTCCCACTTTGCTTGGTTACTGACTGATAAACTAGTGTGGACCGTCTCAATAAGTGTCTTTTTGATAACTATCTAATCACCTTGTCGTCAAATGCGGCAAGTGTACATTTATAACTGGCGCTTTATGGGGGTTTTATTTCCTGTTTTTCATATACCAAATGCGTGCCGTACTTGCCTTCAATGTAATTCAGTAGCGAGCTGTTCGAGGTCAACAGCACATGGCACCACCATCATCAGTTAATTACCCCTAAACAGCGCTCCAACAATATCGACCATCTACTCAGCACCGTCCACCTGTGCAGCCTCTACCTGCCAACTAGATACTCCTCACTCAGCCTTCCCGTCGAATTCCTTCCTCAGCGCGCCTACAGGCTTTTTATTCTGCAACAGCGAGGAGATTTGCTTCCCCTGGCTTTTCCTCATCGCTTTCCATGCGCCTGTAATCCGGGCAGTGGAGGGCAGGTGCGAGTTATTCCCACCGCGTGGTGGAATTGATTTTGGGTCCAGAATGCCCGCCCGGACCATTTCATGCACACTCGGATGGATAACGGCGTCTTCGGGGATATCGCGAGGCGCGCCCATGTTGGGTGGCCATTGCCGGGGAACCCATTTGCCGTGTTCGAGTTCGAGGCGTGTGAAGAGGGGGAGGATTTCTATGCAGGTTAGTACCAAGTTTTGGGTCATCACAGCGAGATGTATACACACCGAGTATCCACCAAAAGATTACCATCAGGAAGGTCGCTCCTCGATTAAACATGAGCATATCGTGTGGCTGGTTCGTGCGTTTCCGCACATCATACGCTGTGGTCCCTGGTTCCTCCTTCCCGGGAAACGCATTCTCTCTTTCCACTACGTCTGCAACATTGAGCGTGTGGAAGGACAACTTGCTCTCCGACTTTTCCAGATGAAGAACCTCCTGCAGCATCCAATTCAACGGTGTATCAGACAAAAGGTGGAACTGTCCGGGAGCGAGACTCCAGCCCCCTCCCACGTCACCATGGTTCCCTGCAAACCAGACTTCCTTCAGATCCACTGGCTTGGTCTTGTCAAGCAGCACCAGGGCAGGCTTGAACTTGAGTCTACGTTCATGAATCGATACAGCATGTCGGATGTGGCGAGCCGCCGGACTGACGAGATATTGGTGCGACTTCCGATGGAAGGGGATCTCGAATTGGCCGACACTGTTCACGCAGTCGAATAATCCGAGAAAATGGATCTGTACTTGCGGGCGGCAGAAGGTGGTATTAAACTTCTTCATGTATGAGATTAATGCCTCATCCTTCGCAGTGCGATCGGTCTTTCCACGCGCTTGTTGGAAATTGCTGAATGTCTCCCAGGCAAAATGGATCATCTCTTCGTTACCCTGTGAAAGGAGACCAAGTTCGTGGATCATTTCTGCTAGGAATCGCGCCGTGTATGCTCCCCGCGAGAATCCAAAGATGTAGATATGATCACCCGGGGAGTAGTACCGCATAATGAAACGATATGCGGCGAGAACATGACTTTCAAAAGTTGTTCCTACCCCCTGATCGATGGTGGTTATGATATTCGACTGTAGTTTTCGCGGATATCGAAGCAATCCGGAGCTGGATGATTGACCTTCGACGTAGGTTCCAATACCGGCTGGCTAATGTGTGAGCTCCGTGCTGAATATGCGCTTTGTTGCTAACTTTATTACCCAGACTACTTAATGGACAAACTCACGCTGATAATAATGAAACTGACCGGGCGTGTTCTTTTCGAGCATCTGGTATATCTTGACGATATTTGAGTCGCGCTCGAACCCCATAAACTGATTGCCAGTGCCATCGAGACACAGTACCAGTTTTCGGGGACCAGAATAGGGCGCTTCCACGCTGGACGTCTGATCCACAGTTGAGTGTGGCATCGTTTGGAGAAACTTGGCTAAGTGGAACAACGAAGAAAACAGGTACAAATGGGAAAATCAGCAATCAAAAATATGGATGAGTTCTAGAGAGAATGAACTCAGAGATGGCACATTACGGGACATGCCTCATACCCAGCTTTATCAAGGTAAACGCAACCGTCCGGACAGCAGCACCTTCGGGGACCACAATCATGATGCCCAGCGCCGATCATGACGGGCCGCGGGGAGGATTCCAACACGAACCGCTTGTGGGGGTGTTCGTGAGGTAAAAACTGCCGAGATGCAATCCAGCATCTATCATTGGATCAGCTTTCATGATGATCGTGCCGCGACATGAGGTTTGTGTCCCGTCGGGGTCCGGCCCCTTCTTCATACTGATGATTGGTTTGTCAATGTGCTGATCTTGCCAGCTGAAAACCACACTGTCTGATAAACCCCTCTCATTGTCACTCTCCTGCATAGTGGCTGGCTGAATTTTCTCCTCAAGCACGACCACCTGAGGGGGTCTCTACCCTTTGCTCTGCATATGTGCCGTCTCTGCCACCAATCAGGCGACAGGTGGCTGGCGAAGTCTGCAGACTGTCGCAATGACAGCTCTGGGCGCGGGGCCAGACCGAATCTCATACTTTCAGCTGGGCTGTGTCCGCAGGATCGATAGGTGTTTGTCTGCTCGGTATTCCCCGTATGATCTTCAGGATCTCAGCTACCCCAAGCGCCGGGGACGAGGGGTTCTCTTTCAGCTGGCATTGGTGGCCCAGTTCTCACAGCGCGCTGATTTCTAACAGATATTCCTCGTGTATAAGTATTCGGGCACAGATCTCATAATGTATTGCAGAAATATCGCGATAGCTTGCTCTCTTCAATACGACTAACGACTTAAGCTGTACCTCGCCTAATCTCGCCTTTCTGAATGATGAGCTCCGTTTTTATTGCTCTTCTCCTCTGCTTCCTTTCTTTTCTCTACCTGAGGGTCTTTGCAGATGAACCGACACGCCCTTTTCAGATAGTTGCCAAGGTTTTCTCTTCCCATAAACACCCGACATGGAAGTTGAGGCCTCGTTTCCTCCCAAAGGCCACAAAAGCAGCTCTGTCCAGCATTGCCGGGACGGGAGAGGGGCTTTGGCAACGGCTATATGCGAGGATCTTCCATGCACAAGAGCTAGCAGAAGTGGAAGATGACGTGAAATACCAAGCTGGAGAGTCATATGGAGATCCCGATGTCCTTGCCGCGGGCCTTGTCAAAGATCTCTCGGCTCTTGGACTCAAGGGCAAGAGAAATGATCTTCGTACACTGATCCAATTAGTGAAGTCTAAAGGAAAGCCGATCGATGATCGTCAAATGCTTGTGAGTCGGGTTCCAATTGTTTCTAGATTCAATGAGCCATTGCTGATAAGGAACGACCGCTGCAGATGGAAAAAGTCATCGCCATCGTTGCAATGTTGCCGCGAACCTCCAAGTCCCGACAGAGGTTGACCGGCATCCTGGTTGACCAGCTCTGGCAGAGCTTGGAGCATCCTCCGCTATCGTACTTTGGGAACAAGTATCAATACCGCACTCCCGATGGAAGTTACAACGTGAGACTAATCTCCCAACCTGTCGTCCGAAATACGAAGACATCACTGACCTATTTGACTCCCACACTATAGAACCCTTTAGAGCCTGACCTTGGCAAAGCCGGCAGTCCGTATGCGAGATCGGTGCCCCGCCTCAAGGCTTTGCACGGAGTGCAGCCTGACCCTGGCCTTCTCTTTGATCGTGAGTCTCGAGTCTTGAGTGTAGACAGTATAATCCTAACGCTTGAAATCCAGTTCTCATGGCCCGTGATGAAGGGACATTCCGGGAAAACCCTGCAGGCATCTCCTCGGTTCTGTTCTATCATGCAAGCATCATCATTCACGGTGAGTCCACCATACAAGGCTGATACTTTGTCAAGCCCTTGCGCTAAAAACATGTAGATGTTTTCTGCACGAACCGGCGCGACCCCAATATCTCAGACACCTCATCATATCTGGATCTCGCACCTCTATATGGTTCCAGCTATGAAGACCAGTTGAGGGTGCGCACTATGGAACGCGGCATGCTCAAGCCTGACACCTTCCACGAGAAGAGACTGTTGGGTCAGCCTCCTGGTGTCAACGTGATCCTTGTCATGTACAATCGTTTCCACAACTATGTGGCCGATGTCCTGCTGAAGATTAACGAGAATGGACGCTTCACCCTACCGCCAACAACATCCAAGGATGCAAAACGAAAGGCACTGGCCAAGCAAGACGAAGATCTATTCCAGGTGACTCGTCTGTAAGTCAACATTCCATATTTTCTTCATGACAGAGAAATGAACTAACCCCGGGATAGCATCGTAAACGGGCTCTACGTCAACATCTCGTTACACGACTACCTCCGTGGACTGACCAACACTCACCATTCGGCGAGTGACTGGACTCTGGATCCTCGTGTGGCTGTGAGTCGAGCGTTCGACGCTGATGGGGTTCCCCGAGGTGTGGGAAACCAGGTCTCTGCCGAGTTCAACCTCCTCTATCGCTTCCACTCGGTTATCTCCCGGCGAGACGAAAAGTGGACGAATGAGTTCCTGAAGAGTCTGTTCCCCGACCTCAAGAAACCGCTGGAGCAACTTACG